TCTTTCGCGAGGATTTGTGGTCTATCAAATCTGATGTAATGGTTGGGGCCGTCTAGGATATGATCACAAACTGCAGACTTCCCGGAACGTTGATGCTTCACATCTTTATCTTAATCATTACAGTCTGTTATCCAGATGGCAACACACTCAAAGACTGGTTCAAGCGTTTTGGAAACGCTGGCAGATTGAATACTTGTCCCGACTTAATCAGCGACATAAGTGGTTAAAGAGAACACCTGAGTTTGAAGTTGGTGATATGACATGACATGACAAAGTAACTGCATTTTTGTCTTGCTTTTTGCATTTTTTGTCTGCAGACAAAGTAACTGCATTTTTAGAACATCTTAATTCCATAAACGCTAAAATTCAATTTACTATGGAGTTAGAGGCAAATAATTCCTTACCTTTCCTAGATGTATTAGTCATCCGAAATCCTAATAACACCATTGGTCACACTGTGTATAGGAAAAAGACCCATACAAACCGATATTTAAATGGTGAATCTCACCGCCATCCTTCACAGTTAGCTACCGTGGGCAAATCTTTGTTACAGAGAGCACGAGGGATCTGTGACAGCAAACACCTGGCCGCCGAGCTTCAGCACGTCAAGCAAGTTCTGCACGACAACAAGCTTCGGGTCCCGCGCCTACGTCACAGTGACCGAGTGAAGCCGGCCACAGTCGAGCGTGTGCCTGCTGTACTACCATATGTCAGAGGTGTCACAGACAAGATTGGCTATATCTTGAAGCGAACTTCTATTAGAACATTCTACAAGCCGCCGAAGAAGATTAGTCAGTTCCTACCATCCGTCAAGTGTCATATTCCTCTACAAGATGCAGGACTGTACAAGCTTGATTGTGAATGTGGTCTCTCTTATATAGGACAAACCAAAAGATCAATTAGGACCCGCGTAAAAGAACATATAGCTGATGTGAATCATCAACGTTCCGGGAAGTCTGCAGTTTGTGATCATATCCTAGACGGCCCCAACCATTACATCAGATTTGATAGACCACAAATCCTCGCGAAAGAACACCGATTCCTACCAAGGATGATACGTGAGGTTATTGAAATTAAAAAAACATCCTAATTTCAATAAAGAAGGAGGCTGGGTACTACCACCTGCTTGGGATCCTATAATCAATAAAATTAAAACTAAACCCAAGCATACCACTGCAAGAACTCAAGACATAGTCAGTTCATTTTGCATAGATCGGACCATAAACAATAATTAAAAAAGCTGAAGGTACTCCGGGTTTAACAATGACATCGGGACGTCAGTCATCTCAGTCCCCCGTGACCATGGGTGCTGGAAAGCGCCCGAAACGTCGGGAATTAAAAGTAAAAAGTAAAAATAAACGCGATAAAATCCGTAAAAGTAGTTTTAATCATGTGCAATGTTCGCGTAAATATAAGAAATCATTACAGTCTGTTATCCAGATGGCAACACACTCAAAGACTGGTTCAAGCGTTTTGGAAACGCTGGCAGATTGAATACTTGTCCCGACTTAATCAGCGACACAAGTGGTTAAAGAGAACACCTGAGTTTGAAGTTGGTGATATAGTATTGCTAAAAGATGAAGATGTAACGCCTAGCACGTGGGTCTGGCACGAATAACTGAAAAACATCCTGGACAAGACAATATAACACGGGTGTATACCGTCCGTTATAATTGTAAATTAACTCAGAGATCCATCTCAAATTTGTGTGCATTACCGATTTCTAGTAAAGATTAATATTTTAAATTTAATTTAATAACTTTAAAAATTGTATTCTTTGCATTATAATCAGTAGTTAAGTATCAAATTAGTATTAGTGTGAAGTTTTTTCTTTATTTGTTTGTTCTAAGTTTTATAGCTAATATTTTTTTTATTGTAAAGTTTTAAAGTAAATTTAGTAAGTTTATTTTAAAGTGAAGCATTGAATAACTTCAAGTACAAACATTGTTAGTAGCATTTATTGTTTCAGTTACTAGTTAAGTTCAAATGCTTTATTAATTTGTTTATTTCGAAAAGATTTTAAGTACCTTTTAGTGGGCGGTATGTTTGACTAAATAATGTATTTGTTTATTACGCTCACATTCCTTGTATGCATTTAGTGTCCAATAGAACGTTGAACAGAGCATACGTGTTGAGTTTTATTTTACTATATCCAACCAAGTGACGACCTTATTCAAATCAACACTCCACATTTCAGCGCAGTGACCCCTACGTGACACGAATCTTCGAAATGCTGCAGTGAATCCAGATGTGGTAAGGTCACTTACAGCTTCTAAGTGTATAGCCTTTGTTTTCATACATACGAACAATGAGATGTATCCTTTGTAAGATTTTTGTCCTCTACCCTTTGACACTCTCATCTGTATAGGTCCGGCAAAATCTACACCACAACAATCAAAAGCTCTTCCAGGGGTTACTCATGTTCACCCATAATTGGTTGTTGCGTTCTGGCATTGTATCTAGTGTATGTAACTCATTTACTGAGATATTTTTTCACTGACTGTTTTAAGCCCATTATCCAATATCTGCTTTTTAGGTAGTTTATTGTTAAAGAAGTTCCTCCGTGCATAACTCTTTCATGTGCATCTCTAATCAACAAATATCCCAGGTGAAAATTTTTTGGAATAATTATTGGGTGTTTATAATCTTGTGATATATTAGCTGATTGTAATCTGCCACCAACTCGTAACAAACCCTTGTCATGTATGTATGGTGTGAGTGTGATTAATTTACTACTTCTTTTAACCTTTCCTTTAGTTTTCAGGTCTTCCAGTTCTTCAGCAAATTCGATTTCTTGAGTAGTTTTAATACTTTGTCTTCATTTCTTCCGCGGTAAGGTAAATAGGCATTTTATTTCTATTTTCTTTATTTTTCTTTAAGTTTAGGAATCATCGGCAATAGGTAAGTACTCGTATCATTTTCTTGAAACAGAAACAGAAACTTTTTTATTCAATGTAGATTATAACAATACTTATTGAAAGTCACTTTTTTCATTAACCACTGGTTCGCAAAAAAAACCTCTGTCCTGGGAAGAACCAGCAAGAAAACCAGCGGGACTATATATTTTTTTTAAATTTGAGAATCTATTTAGTATATATAATGATTACGTTTTTAAATAGAAAAGCAAATACTTAAGATCATCATCATCATTATCATCATTACAGCCCTTCACAAGTCCACTGCTGAACATAGGACTCCTAAATCCTTTACTTAAGATACAAGCTTTCAATGCTTGTGCTGTGAAGTTAAATCATACACTCAACAGGTAAACAAGTCAAATTTCTAAAAGGCTTGTGTAAATTTTTTTTAATATCTTTTTTAAACACCACATTTTCGTCATATTCTTACATTATTATCCAATTATAAGGCCGGTTTTAGAGCTCGACCGACCGTCAGTGCGTACCATCGGTCCTGACGATACGCATAACCGATCGTCAGTTTGTAGCGTTCAGAGTTTTCCTGAGCAACGAAACTGGCCGGACTGGTACAGTCACAAACACGTACACGAAATGGACGCGTTAATTGTTTAATTGCTGCTTACTATGTTCGTAAACGTATAAGGAACAGAAAAGTAGATATCAGGTTCACCCAATCGTCACCCAAAGAGCACTTCAAGGGGAATTTACTACTTTATATCCATTACTGCGCGAAGATGAAGAATTTTTTTTATTATTTTAGAATTTCAATCAAAAGTTTTGATGAATTATCAGTGAAATTACAAGACAACTTAAAACATCCGCGAGGCGTTCGGTGTCGACATATGCCATGTTTGATAAAAATTACTTAAATCACTAAAACTACTTAATACCTATAAAATCATACAATATTATCAAACTTTAGGTTCGATTTTCTTGACGATGATACACGCATCCGACGGTCCTCGTACGCAGTGCGTAGCTACATACGCGTGCGTACGGTCGGTCGAGCACTGTAACGACTTGTGAATTTTCATACAAAAGGCAAGCGCGACCGACGTACGCACCGACGGTCGGTCGAGCTTGTTTAATTGTGTTTTGTTGTTGTAAATTGGTGTTCAACAGATTTTTAAAACTTCATTTGAATTTAAAAAAGGGTTTATTAAATTGTGTATTTTTTTTAAATCAATTAACAAGTCATAATTTTTAAAACATAGAACGGAAAAACCCATTAGAAGGCGCGCGCGCATGCGCGCGGTTGCGTGCGTCGTGCATGCGTGTGCGTGTGTGTGTGCGTGTTTGTGTGTGCGCGCGCGCGTATGTGTGTGTGTGTGTATGTGCGTGCATGCGTGCGTGCGTGGTGTGTGTGTGTGTGTGTGTGTGTGTGTGTGTGTGTGTGTGAGCGCGCGCGTGTGTATGCGTGATGCGTGTGTGTGTGCGCCTGTTTGTGTGCGTGTGTGTGCGTGTGTGTGTGTGTGTGTGTGTGTGTGTGTGCGTGCAGCATGCGTGCGTGCGTGCGTCGAGCGTGTGTCGCGTGCGCGTGACGCGCGCGTGTGCGCGTGTGTGTGCGGGTGTGAGCGCGTGTGTGTGCGCGTGTGTGTGCGCGTGTGTGTGCGCGTGTGTGTGCGCATGTGTGTGCGCGTGTGTGTGCGCGTGTATGAACACGTGGGTGCGCGCGTGTGTGTAGATAGGGCGTCTCTGTGTTGGCTTAATTTGTAGCACTATAATATGCACAGTTAATGACTGAAAGTATTCAGAAGATAACCATGAAATGATGATGAAAGAATATCCAAAATGTCATAATGTCCCATAGGTGTCGTAGGAGGTGACAGAAGGGAAACTAAAATAGGAAATGGGCAGCAGCATCTTCCTGATAACTTAAAATTAGACGGCACTCGCCAACCTGCCTGCTGGGGAGGCCTATGAATAAAATTTGTTAATTAAAGGTTTTTACTTATTACTAATTATATAAAATATTAAATTATAAATGTGCATATAAATATGCAGCAGCACGTGCAGCATGAGCGAGGTAAGCGCGGCCAGGTGCAGCAGGCTCACTGCATAAGAACATCACACGATGCGTACCATCTTGTTCCAGTCGACGGGCAGCAAGTCTACGAGGCGGGTGACGTGCACCACTAGCAGCAGCACGTGCAGCATGAGCGAGGTCAGCGCGGCCAGGTGCAGCAGACGGACGCGCCCCGCCAGCGGCAGCAGCGCCGCGCGCAGCCCCACGCCCGCCCACAGGCACCCGCACGTGCTGGCACTGCACAGCTGCGCACACCACCCACACACACAACCAATCAAAACACGACGTGATGTCAAGAAAACATATATTATACATAGTTGAGCCACGCTGCAGCTATATTATGGTTGCACCATGAATGGGTTGGCTCGACCAGGAAAAGACCACACTCTCACATAATACCAGCGTCAAATAGCAGCTTAATGCTGCTGTGCTTCATATAGTGAATGTAAAGAACCGGAAACTCTTTGTAATGGAAATAAGGCAATCCACTTCTCAATCGAGGATAAATGAAGATGTCTATTTATGTACCATCAGGTGAACTGTGAAAAAATAACAAATAGTATATTTGACCACATGCCGAATATCACATATTCTACAGGCTTTTTGACCGAATAGCCGAATATTAGGCAAAAAGATTCGGCCGGGAAAGAAGTGGGTATTCAGTGTCGTTTCCCTGAAGTAAGGATTGTCTATAAGAAGAAAAGGAATTTAGTCTTCTTTATACACAATAATCTTACATGTTTTAATTACGATAATTCAAATGCATAGTCATTTATTTAACACTTTTTTGTTAATTTTTATAATAAAGTTGATTATGTACCTATGATGATTACAAGAAAAATACATTACTATAAAATAAATCAATGTTTCATTCATTCATTCTTTTTTCGTGGGTAGGAGTGAAATAAGTAACACATGTTTTTGATCAGTCTTGCGTAATTTATATTTTAAAAATAGAAATTAGGTTATTTTAACGTGTAAAATATATAATATATATTATGTAATAATCATCTGTTTACCATCCTTGATTCCTTGATATATTTTTTCCTTAATTTGCTAACACTACACGAAACCATGGAAGCCCTCAAAGGATCACTGTCAGCCATATCAGAACACTTCAATACTCGTATGAATGAGTTTCAGCAGGACTTAAATAAGACTAGTCCAACTGTGGCCTCAAATATATCTGTACTCTCAACGGAGTTCGCAACATTCAGAAAGTTTATCTTGTCCGCTCTTGCAAACTGTTCAAAAACAGGGTGAATTTCTTGGGAGAGAGATCGACCGCTTGGAGATAAGACGGCGTCGTAAGATTCTGCTGCTTCATGGGATTCCCGAGGATACATCTTCAATGGCTTCTAACCTTATAATGGACAAGCTCAAGATTCCCAATGTGTCTAACAATTCTTTTAGCCGCTGCCATCGCCTTGGACGTCCGATAGAAAAGAAGCCAAGACCAGTTCTTGTAAAGTTCCGGGATGCCCGAGTCCATGATCAAGTTTGGTTCTCAAAAACAAAACTGAAAGACACGGGTGTAACTATGTCCGAGTTTTTAACAAAAGATCGTCACAAGATGTTCATGGTGGCCAGGCAGAAGTTTAGCTTTGGTCGCTTATGACGGTTCGCGCCATCAAGTTGAATCCCTCGCTGAGCTCGAAGTCGTCCCAGTGGCACCAGCTGCTGCTACCCAAGCACAGAAGGCTGTCGCTGGAAGTAATAGATCTACTGACAAAGTAGTTCAGCGCTCCAAGAGGATAGTGAAGAAGTGATAGTTATGTGGTATAGGACCTTTAGTTCTCTTCAATAAACTGTATGTATTGTCTTTTATCACATTATGATTTCTGTCAATATTTCAGTGTCTCTGCATTGTGCTTTTTGCTAACCTTATTTCTTTTTTTACCAGTCTTATGTTAAGTGTTAAATAAGATATGAGTTAATTATACCATATATATAATTAGTCTAGTAGTTTTATATATACTCGTATATGAGTTAATTAGTCTCTGCATTGTACTTTCGATAACCTTAATTCTTTTATACCAGTCTAATGTTGGGTGTTAAATAAGATGTGAGTTAATTAGCAAATTAGTCGTTATGGATCCCTATATATAGGAAGTATTATCTATCTACATCACTTTGAAACTTAGACTTGTCTATTGTTTTGATTTTATTGTTCTAAGTTAGTTATTTTAACAGTGTAGGTATTTGATATTGATACTGATAATTGACTGTTATCTTAGGTTTCGACCACAGATTAATAAATTTTTGTTTCCACAATTATGCAAAGAGTATATAATCACCATGTTATTTACCTTAGAGAAATATCCTCTCATTACAGAGTATTAAATGCTCTTGTTGTACTAACATGGAGATTTGTTTACTTGTATTTTTTTTATGCAAAGGTATCCATGCTTATGCCACCTTGTCGACGTGTATAGTTGACGAAAGGTGAGCACAGATGAACTAAGGTGGGGGTTGAGCCAGCGTAGGTACACTGTCGGCCAAAATTATTTGGTACCTTTGTAATTTCAATTCATAATTGAATATTTTCCCTGACTTTTTTTTCGTAATTCTGAGTCGTTAACCCCTTTAACCATACGACTTACAGTAGCTACGTAGACATTAGTCGCCTTAGCAGTCTGTTTATAAACGTTTATCATGTTTTTCTCAATACCTAATTATTTCATGTAACAAAACACTGAATAGACAATTTGTCGGGATTGCCTATTTAACACCGAATTCTTTCTTCACTGCATATTTAGCCCAAAAACGAATGCTCAAATTATAACAAAAAAAAATTAACAACAAGAAATATCAAAAACAGTTAAAAACAAGAAATACACAAACAACAATTAACAACGAGGTAACACTACAATTATAACAAAAATAAACTAATTAAAAAATTGTCAATAAAATTGCTCTAAAGTGTACGGTAGTCGAATGATACGTGCGAACCCAATAGACGACGAGAATCGGCTGACGAACCAATCACGTTGAGCGTCAGCGTGGTCAACGTCATATCGACCAATAAAAGTGTGCTCACGACTCGTGGCGGCTATTATACTTTGTTTATATTATTGCAAGCATAAAAGTGGTTTTGACTTAATGTTTAATATATACTCACAAATCACTCCTAACGTACTACTCACAGTACATAATTCTATTTAATATCAGTGTCTGTGATTTCAGTTATTTCTCATAAGCACCTTGTGTTATATTGTATTTTTATATTTGTTCAATCAAATATGATCTGAATGGCTTATGTGTAGTACCTTTTTTGTTTTTCTTTTTAAATATTTGCATTATTTTCTATTCTGTGAATGCTGGTAGGTAGTAAATTTAACTAAAAGGTTTAGTTTATAATTTTTATATTTTTATAGTTATTAGTATTTTTTAATAATTTACAGTTGTTTGAATTTTTTTTAATATTTTTGTAAGAATAACATGTCTTTTGGTGAAAGTAATCATATTCAAAGCTCCTCCTCTTTTTAGTATCTGATGTATTAAGTAATGACGACAGTTTTGAGAGCATTCCTCCATTAAAAGAGACCCTTGACTCCCATTTTTCTCAAGCTATCAATAACTTCAATATAGTCAGTAAGTTCAATATAGTAAATGCACAGAGTATTCCGGCTCATTATCCCGATATGTTAGCTAGTTTTGAAAGTGATAATGTTCACGCAATTCTCGTTTCAGAGTCATGGTTAAAGCCATGTCTTCCTTATATATCCTATTCCATTCCAGGATTCCAGTGAATACGCAACGACCGAACTGCGCGAGGTGGTGGTGGTGTTGCCATTTACATTCGTGCTCATATTCCTTTTTCTATTGTTTGTTTATCATCTCCATCTCAAGCTGAGAACGAAGCAGAATACTTATTTGTTGAAGTACTTCTTTCGCACAACAAATTACTTCTCGGAGTTTTTATAGTCCTTCTTCCACAGTGGACTATTTTACTACTTTGGATAACCTTTTTGAAGAGTTAACTCCATTATATACACATACAGTGCTAATGGGCGACTATAATACTTGCCTTCTCAAGAATGATGCCCGATCTCTCCGGCTTAAGTCCCTTATAGAAGCAGCCAATTTAAATATCCTTCCTCTCTCTGAAACTCATTTTTTCCCTAACTGTATCCCATCCCTCCTTGATTTGGTTATCGTTTCTTCTCTTGACCATGTTGATAGTTTTGGTCAATGTGCTGCCAATGCTTTTTCGTATCATGATCTCCTGTTTCTATATTATAAAATAAGACCAACCAAAGCCAAATCAAGGATACTTCTGCAGCGTAATTTTGATAAAATGGATTTGGATAAGCTTCAAAAAGACACTGCTAATATGGACTGGAGCGTTATAATGAAGGCTTGTGATGTTGACGAACAGGTAGCATTGTTTAATTCACTTCTTGTTCAACTTTATGATGCTCATGCTCCTGTCCGTCCAGTGCGAATACGTCATCCTCCAGCTCCGTGGTTGACCGAAGATCTTAAAAGATTAATCTGCAGAAAGAATAGTGCAAAGTCGAGTTACAAGTCAGATCCTAAGAATCACAGGATTCGGAAGAAGTACAGACTCCTGCGAAATCAATGCAACAAGATGTGTAGAGATTTACGACGCCGCCACATCCATAAATCAGTACAAAACGAAGATCCATGTCGTATTTGAAACTTCTTAAAGTCTATTGGAGTTGGGAAAACTCGTTCATGTCCTATTCCAAATAACGTTGATTTAAATTTGCTTAATTAGCATTTTTCTTCCATTTCTTGCCTGAACAATATGACAAAATCAGCAACACTTACTCAACTTTCATCGTTTCCCACTCCTGACTTTTCTTCATTTGTGTTTAGGCAATTTGCCGATTGTGATGTTAGGAATATACTCTCTATCCATTCCGACGCTGTCGGAAGTGATGATGTCTGTCGTAAAATGATCATTCCCTTGTTGGACTTTTTAACACCCATATCTTAAACTTTTCCATATCCTCATCTTCTTTCCCTTCCCAATGGAAGGACGCTCAAATCATACCTTTACCTAAAAAAGCAAATCCTTCAAGATTTTCTGAATATCGTCCTATTTCAATTCTTCCTTTCCTTTCCAAAGTTTTAGAACGCCATGTCCAACAACAAATTAATTTCTTTTGTTTAAGAAATAGCATCCTTAGTCCTCTCCAATCTGGCTTTAGATCTGGTCATAGTACGACTACGGCATTATTAAAAATCACCGACGACATTCGTCACGGTATGGAGAATCATCAAGTCACAGTATTGGTGTTGCTGGATT